CAGACACACACACACAGACACACACACATACACAGACACACACACACACACACACACACACACACACACACACACAATTACATGAACACAAACTACACAGAATAATGCTCACTGAACATAAACACAACACAGGATGAACAAAAGAATCACTGCCAACTGAACTGAACAGAATCTGAACAGAAGAATCACTGCAGACTGAACTAAAAAATAAAAATGATAAAATGCTATACAAATACAACTGACCTGAAAAATGTATGAATCAATGTGATGATAATTATCATATATGAATACTCAATGATGTCATACATGACAGAATTAATAAATAATTAATGATATAATGATTGAATAATAATAAAAACAATCATGACATTATATTAATGAATATTATAACAATTAATTATAGATGCAATGATGACAGTAATTCTTCATTCCTCATGTATAAATAAGCCATGACGAACAAATAATAACTGTCATGTCATTGTGAGGGAATAATGATGATGTCACAGTGAGTTGAATTGTGAATGATGTCATGATGATGGAGTGAATGATGTCACATGCCTGTCTCACAGAGGCTTCCAGTAAATCCATCCACACACTGGCATCTGTTGAGTCCCACACACACACCACCGTTTCTACACGCCGACACACACCTGACGGGTTCTGAGGAGGAAAACACACACACACACACACACACACACACACACACACACGCACACACACACACACACACACACACACACACACGCACACACACACACACACACACACACACACACACGCACACACACACACACACACACACACACACACACGCACACACACACACACACACACACACACACACACGCACACACACACACACACACACACACACACACACGCACACACACACACACACACACACACACACACACGCACACACACACACACACACACACACACACACACGCACACACACACACACACACACACACACACACACAAACACACACACACACACATACACACACACACACACACACAAACACAAACACACACACACGTTTGTGATCTGAAAGATTTGTTAAATGTTTTTGAAAGTCTCTTCTGCTCACCAAGGCTGCATTTATTTGATCAAAAATACAGTAAAAATTGTGAAATATTATTAGAATGTAAAACAGCTGTTTTCTATGTGAATATATTTTAAAACGTAATTTATTTCTGTGATGCGCAGCTGTATTTTCAGCATCATTCCTCCAGTCTTCAGTGTCACATGATCTTCAGAAATCAGTATAATATGCTGATTTGCTGCTCAACAAACATTTCTGATTATTATCAATGTTGAACACAGTTGTGCTGCACAATATTTCTGTGGAAACTGTGAAGAACAGCATTTATTTTAAATGACTTTATGATCACTTTTGATGAATTGAACGAGTCCTTGATAAATAAAGGTATTAAAATCTCACTGACCCCAAACTTTAGAACAGTAGAGTATATATTAGTGTATATATTATTTACATAAGTAAAGAAAATAATATCTTTTAAATCTAATAAAAATCAAATTTTGATTTAAATATACGTTTCCGGGTCGGTTTAGTTATTAAGATTAGTTTAATTCAAAAACAAGAGCAGTCTATTTTAGTCCTCATTTAAACAGCAAACTCGTAAACGTGTGTGTGTGTGTGTACCTACTTAACCATTTTGATCAAAAATACAGTAAAAATTGTGAAATATTATTAGAATGTAAAACAGCTGTTTTCTATGTGAATATATTTTAAAACGTAATTTATTTCTGTGATGCGCAGCTGTATTTTCAGCATCATTCCTCCAGTCTTCAGTGTCACATGATCTTCAGAAATCAGTATAATATGCTGATTTGCTGCTCAACAAACATTTCTGATTATTATCAATGTTGAACACAGTTGTGCTGCACAATATTTGTGTGGAAACTGTGAAGAACAGCATTTATTTTAAATGACTTTATGATCACTTTTGATGAATTGAACGAGTCCTTGATAAATAAAGGTATTAAAATCTCACTGACCCCAAACTTTAGAACAGTAGAGTATATATTAGTGTATATATTATTTACATAAGTAAAGAAAATAATATCTTTTAAATCTAATAAAAATCAAATTTTGATTTAAATATACGTTTCCGGGTCGGTTTAGTTATTAAGATTAGTTTAATTCAAAAACAAGAGCAGTCTATTTTAGTCCTCATTTAAACAGCAAACTCGTAAACGTGTGTGTGTGTGTGTACCTACTTAACCATATTTTGGGGACAAATTTGTAGCATGAAGTGAGCTAAACCTACAAACCTACTAATTTGTAAAAACAGTATAAAAATAAAGAGAATAAAGTTTTTTTAGAACTATAACAATGCAGAAAGTTTTCTTTTAGGGTTATTGTCTGGGTTAGGTTAGGATTTATAATTAACTGTATAAAAAAACAATAGCCATGTATGAGTGTCCTCATATGGATATTAAAGTAAACCAGAAAAAGTGTGTATTTGTTCACCTCTCTGACAGCGCGCTCCTGTCCATCCGTCTGAGCAGCTGCAGGTGTTGATGTCCACACACCTCCCTCCATTCACACACGGAGGAGAACACAGCGCTGCAAACACACACACACACTTTCAGTATACATCTACAGAAAACAATGCTTCAGATCACACTCACACACTCACGGGTGAGACACTGTGGCCCGCTGTAGTCGGAGGGACATTGGCAGGTGTTTGGAGCGACACATCGTCCACCGTTCGCACACGGCAGCTCACACACGGCTGAAACACACACATCAGCATCATCAGCATGTGTGTGAGTGTGTGAGTGTGAGTGTGAGTGTGTGTGTGTGTGTGTGAGTGTGAGTGTGTGTGTGTGTGTGTGTGTGTGTGTGTGTGAGTGTGTGTGTGTGTGTGTGTGTGTGTGTGTGTGTGTGTGTGTGAGTGTGAGTGTGTGTGTGTGTGTGTGTGTGTGTGTGTGTGAGTGTGAGTGTGAGAGTGTGTGTGTGTGTGTGTGTGAGTGTGGGTGTGAGAGTGTGAGTGTGTGTGTGTGTGTGAGTGTGTGTGTGTGTGTGCATGTTTATGTGGTTTATGAGGACACAAATTTGTATAATAACATGGGTATGACATAGGTATTACAACGAGAAGGTGATTTATGAGGACATTTTCAGTGTTACACACGCATACATACATAATTCAAAAGGCTTATAAATAATTCAGAATGAGTTTTTTTGAAAATCTAAAAATGCAGAAAGTCTCCTGTGAGGGGTAGGTTTAGGGGTAGGGTTGGTGTAGGGCAATAGAATATACGGTCTGTACAGTATAAAAACATTACGCCTATGGAGAGTCCCCATAAACCATAAAAACAAACCTGTGTGTGTGTGTGTGTGAGTGTGTGTAAGATGCAGGCAGTGTTACCTGTGTGGCAGCCGTCACCCGTCCAGCCAGGACGACACAGACAGACGTTCCACCTCATACAGGACCCTCCATAAGCGCAGGGTGGAGAACACATGGCTGAGACACACCACAATAAATACATAAAAACACACACATGCACGAATGGAAAATAGATGGAGTGAAATTCAAGGCACAGTTACACTAGCATTTAAAATAAATTAATACTTTCATTCATCAAGAACGCATCAAACTGATGTTGATTTATAATGTTACAAAAGATTTCTATTTCAAATAAATGCTGTTCTTTTGAACTTTCTATTCATCTGTGAATCCTGAAAAATAAAATGCATCACGGTTTCCACAAAAATATTAACTGTTTTCGACATTGATAATAATCAGAAATGTTTCTTGAGCAGCAGATCAGCATATTATACTGATTTCTGAAGATCATGTGACACTGAAGACTGGAGGAATGATGCTGAAAATACAGCTGCGCATCACAGAAATAAATTATAATTTAATAGATATTAATATAGAAAAGAGTTATTTTAAATCACAATACTATTTCATAATTTTCACTGCATTTTGAATCAAATAAATGCAGCCTTGGTGAAAATAATATAAAAAAGTCATTTTTTTGCTTTCATGGAGAAGGCAATTCCAGAATGTTTCTCACATTTTCATATATTATTATAAATATGCCTACAACTCACTGCTAAAACACATCATAAAAAATAGTTCAATCCAAGAAAACAGACTATTTTATGTTCAGTGGAGAATATTCATTATTCCACCATTATCATAACTATAAGCCATTTTACATTGTATATTTTAAAAATGAATGCCCTGAATGCAATGCAGGCCATTTGGGATAAAACTGTCTGTCAAATGTGTAAAAATGTCAACATATTAGCTTAGAATAATATAATAATAATTCTAAGATATTAGCATGATATTATTAATAATAAAAAGTGGGAAAATACCATCCTATCTCATTCTGCATTAAACTCAATCACACGACACATTACCCGAGCATCCTGGTCCCGGATATCCCGCTGGACAGTCGCAGGTGTTCGGAGCGACACACACTCCAGAGTTCAGACAGGCAGGTTCACACAGAGCTGGAAAATGATGTACGGCCGTGAGGAGGGTGCTCTGGATGATCTAGTGTCATTGTGTCAGTGTGTGTGAACAGCCATGACTCACGATGGCATTTAGTCGGGTCGTCTTTACGCAACTCGAAGCCCGAGCGACAGCTGCAATTAAAACCGCCAGCGTGATTCACACACACCTGCTCACAGCCGCCGTTAAAACTCACACATTCATCCACATCTGAAACATATTAGCTTAGAATAATATAATAATAATTCTAAGATATTAGCATGATATTATTAATAATAAAAAGTGGGAAAATCCCATCCTATCTCATTCTGCATTAAACTCAATCACACGACACATTACCCGAGCATCCTGGTCCCGGATATCCCGCTGGACAGTCGCAGGTGTTCGGAGCGACACACACTCCAGAGTTCAGACAGGCAGGTTCACACAGAGCTGGAAAATGATGTACGGCCGTGAGGAGGGTGCTCTGGATGATCTAGTGTCATTGTGTCAGTGTGTGTGAACAGCCATGACTCACGATGGCATTTAGTCGGGTCGTCTTTACGCAACTCGAAGCCCGAGCGACAGCTGCAATTAAAACCGCCAGCGTGATTCACACACACCTGCTCACAGCCGCCGTTAAAACTCACACATTCATCCACATCTGCAGACAGAGACAGAGAAAGAAGTTACTCAGGATTTGATAATAATAATAATTATTATTCAAAATATTGTTTTTATTTTATTAAATTCAAAACTTCTCTTTTGTTGATAATCAATTGATATACAGTCACACCAAACTATTTTTTTTCTTCAGATTTATGCAATTCACGTGGATCAGATTTATATATATATATAAAAAAAAAAAGCCCTATGGTATTGGATAATATGAACCAGTCAATAGTTTTCTGTGTTTTACCGATGCAGGTTCTTTGGTCTGCGCTGAGCTCCCATCCTGCTCTGCAGCTGCAATGGATGCGACCCTCAGCACCCAACGAGCAAGTATGATCACATCCACCGTTCCTCAAGGCACATGAGGTCACATCTGCCAAAAGAGAGATGCGCACATATGCATGCATTAAATAATGGAAAAGGTATACATTAAACAGATGTACAATGCATGCATTAGATAGGTGGAAAATGCATGCATGCAAAAGATAGAAAGTGCATGCATGTAAAGGACAGAAAATGCATGCATGTAAAGGATAAAAAATGCATCCAAGCAAAAGATAGAAAGTGCATGGATGCAACAGATAGAAAATGCATGCAAGCAAAATATAAAAACTGCAGGCTTGCAAAGGACAGAAAAAGCATACATGCAACAGACAGAAAATGCATGCATGCAAAAGATAGAAATTTCATGCAAAGGATGGAAAACAGGATTTTCCTACATTTTTTAATGAAAGAGTTACTTATTAAAGTGAGTCATGCAAAACAATAAAAACACACACACACGTATTACGTACTGACGCAGGTGGTGTTGCGGTGGTCCAGCAGCAGAGGGAAGGGACAGTGACATTCTTGACCTCCTGGTGTGTTTGTGCACTCGTGAGAACAGCCTCCGTTCTGTAGTTTACACTCGTCTATGTCTATAAAACACACACACACACACACACACACACACACACACACACACACACACAGAGCTGTGAATGAGAGAAAATCCACTAATCCACTCCTGTGCTTGTGTCCCAAGAAAGAAATGTGCTCAGCACTTCAGATTTAGTGCTTTGCAAGGAGAGGGATGTGACAAACTGCAAATATTAGAAAGTAGTGCTGGGCGGCATGACCGAAAATTTATATCACGGTATTTTTCTAAATTATACCGGTTTCACGGTACATGACGGTATTTTTTTACACACACACACACACACAGAGCTGTGAATGAGAGAAAATCCACTCTAGAACAGAAAACAGACTCTTTAAATGGCCATAATTTGAGCTGAAAGCGCACTGACCCACACAGCTGTGTCCATCGATGTGCAGCTGATACCCGCGTCGACACGAGCAGAGAAAGGAACCCGCTGTGTTTTTGCAGGTCTGTTCACATGTGTCATTACTGCTCACACACTCGTCCACATCTACACACACACACACACACACACACACACACACATGCACACGTTGTAACATATTGCAACATATGTTGCAAATGTTTTGGTAATACTAAATATACAGGAAGACGTCATGTTAATAAATTACATTAAATCTGGAGGACTGTTTCCTGATCCTGGGAGAGTAGACTACAATGCCGGCTGTTCTGACTCACAGACTGTAAGTACGTTTTTATATTTAAAGAATTTTTGAGTTTTGAGCAGTGTAGAGTAGCGTTTGTAGTTTCTCCGATCACAAATTAAATTTTTTATTTAAAAAAAAACAACAACAAAAAAACTAACAAACACTAGCTTTCTATTTTTTCTATTCTATCTACTTGTTTTTCTTTGTGTGTGTGTGTGTGTGTAACCGCATAAACACATTTCATTACACCAAATACACAAAATAATGTTCTTTTTAGCAGCATCATATGACCACTTTAATCTGAATCTAACTGACTGAAGTGAACTGAGTAGCATTATACTGAATTTAATTCAGTTAAACTAAACTGAACTGAATAGAACTAAACTGAATTAATATGAACTGTAGCTGAATTGAAATAAACTAAATGTAACAAAATTCAAACACAACAGAAATGAATTGCATTGAACCAAGTAAAAAAAGAAAATGAATGAACCTGAAAATATATGGAAAAACTTACAAATCACACTGAAGTGAATCACATTGAAGTGAATCACACTGAAGTGAATCACACTGAAGTGAATCACATTGAAGTGAATCACACTGAAGTGAATCACACTGAAGTGAATCACACTGAAGTGAATCACACTGAAGTGAATCACACTGAAGTGAATCACACTGAAGTAAATCACACTGAAGTGAATCTCATTGAAGTGAATCACACTGAAGTCAATCAAACTGAAGTCAATCACACAGCAATGAATCACACTGAAGTCAATCACGCTGAAGTGAATCACACTGAAGTGAGTGCGGTGTATTGTGTGAGTGTGTACCTGTGCAGTTGTGTAGATCTGCAGTGACTGCGTATCCAGGGCTGCAGACGCAGCTGTACGTCCCCGGCTGATTCATGCAGTCGTGTTCACAGAGTCTGTTACCCTGAGTGCATTCATCCACATCTGAGCAAACCACAGACACAAGCATCATCATCATCATCATCACAGCATTCAGACTGCATGGATCGGGATCTCAGACTGACCGTAGCAGGAGTGTCCGTCTCCGCTGTATCCCTGAAGACACTGGCAGAAGTACGAGCCGAGGATGTTCCCACAGTGAGCATTAACATCACAACCGTGACCCCAGGTCAAACAAGTGACTGCGTATCCAGGGCTGCAGACGCAGCTGTACGTCCCCGGCTTATTCATGCAGTCGTGTTCACAGAGTCTGTTACCCTGAGTGCATTCATCCACATCTGAGCAAACCACAGACACAAGCATCATCATCATCATCATCACAGCATTCAGACGGCATGGATCGGGATCTCAGACTGACCGTAGCAGGAGTGTCCGTCTCCGCTGTATCCCTGAAGACACTGGCAGAAATACGAGCCGATGATGTTCCCACAGCGAGCGTTAACGTCACAGCCGTGATCCCCGGACAGACACTCGTTTATGTCTGCATGCACACATCAGTGATTGACTTATTTTAGCATCACTAAGATACTATTATAGTTTTATTAATAGTTTCAATTCGTTTTTTTTTTTTCATTTTCATTTTTGTTAAAGTTTGAGTCATTTTGCTGTGTTTTATGATTTTTATTAGTTTTTTTTTTAAATATGTAGTTTATGTTAATTGTATTTTATTTGAGTTTTTTTCAATATTTAATTTCAAGTTACTTTTTTTTTTTTAGCTGTACAGTAGTTAACTATAATGATATAGAAGATATTTGAAGTGGCTTTGTCAATACCATGGTAAAGACACAGTATTTTGTTGTAAAAGGCATTATAGCAAGAATTCCCAAATGTTTTTCTCAGCCGATCCCCTTTGACTTAAAATATTTGAGTTTAAATCTTTTTATTATTGCTTTTCAACATACACACACACACACACAAACGCATATAATATTAATATTTTATAATATTATTATAAATTGTATATATACAATTTAATACATTTCAATAAATCACATTCACACGACATGCAGGCAAACAAATAAAATACTTAATTCTAATAATGAACTATGCATTAGATGTAAGTGTGTGTGTGTGTAAGTCACTCACCTGTGCAGTGTGTGCCGTTGCCACGGTAACCGCGCTGACACACACACCTGTAACTGCCCAGTGTGTTCTCACACTCGCCCCGGCCGACACACACATGCTGCTCCTCCACACACTCGTCCACATCTGAGAAACAACATCATCATCTGTTCATTGCATCTCTCTTTAGTTGAATTACACACTCTTACAGGATTTACAACAAAAATCCATCAGGTAATGCAGGTAAATTCAGCATGCAGTAAGTCACGAGCAAACATAAGTGAGCTTTCAGAGAGATGAAACTCAAAAGGATGAGTTCAGCAACTACCTTCACATATAAGAAAACCTGGACACTGAGCACCTGAGAGACAGACAGACAGATTAAATCAAGCCGCTGGTTAACAACAGCCAAAGCTTTACACTGCACATGAACACCAGCATGCAACTGAATCAATGACATGACATCTTCTCAGATATTACTGCATTAATGCATATTAATCGAAAATGCATTCAGAATGTTCACAAACTGACAATTGTTAAAAAATAAATACATTTGTTGTTTAAATTTATTAAAAATAAAATAAAAACAATGTCACACTCATGATTAAGATGCATCACAGGCGTGACAAAACCATTGAATTATTAAACGATTGCTCCACCTGACATTTTTAGAGTCATCAAATAAAACCTTTTCTTGAAAACAGTATAAATGTTTTCAAAAACATATGAACTAACAGGAAAACATTTCATTTCTAATAACTAAGCAGCAGGGTTATTACTGTAAATTATCCTAACCAAACCTAAAACCATAAAACAATTTTTGTTACTTGAAATAAAATTAACTTTAACTGAAATGAAATATTTAAATTATAAATTAACTATTAAATTATTTTATTTAATCTAGTTGCCAATGAAATATTTCTCATTTTCATATATAAACAAGAAAATTTATGAAGAACTACATTAAAAAAAACTAATAAAATCTAATAAAAATGACAAAAACATACTACAAATTTACTAAAACTTTAACTAAAATGAAAAAAAATTACAGAAAATATGAAAATACAAACAAAATCAAAATTATTAATAAAAACTCGATACTAAAGCAACCCTGCGTAGCACATGCATGTAAAGTAGATTTTTAAAAGATTTCTCTTTATCATAACATCTGTCGCTCTCACTCGACTCTACGTTCAGACATAGAGCGAATGATAAAGCAGCGCAAGATATACGGGTTAATACTACAATCACAGACAGACAGACACACAGACAGACAGACACACAGACAGACAGACACACAGACACACACACACACACACACACACAGGTTTGTTTTTATAGTTTATGGGGACTCTCCATAGGTGTAATGGTTTTTATACTGTACAGACCGTATATTCTATTGTCCTACTCCAACCCTACCCCTAAACCTACCCCTCACAGGAGACTTTCTGCATTTTTAGATTTTCAAAAAAACTCATTCTGAATTATTTATAAGCATTTTGAATTACGGGGACACTGAAAATGTCCTCATAAATCACCTTCTCGTTGTAATACCTATGTCATACCCATGTTATTATACAAATTTGTGTCCTCATAAACCACATAAACATGCACACACACACACACACACACACACACACACAGACAGACAGACAGACAGACAGAGACACACAGACAGACAGACAGATACACAGACAGACAGATAGACAGATAGACAGACACAGACACACAGACACACAGACAGACAGATACACAGACACAGACACACAGACAGACAGATAGACAGATACACAGACACAGACACACAGACAGACAGACAGACAGACAGAGACACACAGACAGACAGACAGATACACAGACAGACAGATAGACAGACACAGACACACAGACAGACAGATAGACAGATACACAGACACAGACACACAGACAGACAGATAGACAGATACACAGACACAGACACACAGACAGACAGATAGACAGACACAGACACACAGACAGACAGACAGACAGACACAGACAGACAGACAGACAGATAGACAGACACACACACAGACAGACACAGACAGACAGACACAGACACACAGACAGAGACACACAGACATACAGACAGACTCTTACCCACACACGCGGCTCTGTGCTCTCTGAATCCAGCCTGACACACACACGTGTAGCTGCCGTCTGTATTCTCACACACGTTACCCAGCTCCCTGCGGCAGCTCTCCTCGAAATTACACTCGTCAACATCTGCAGAGACACAGAAGAGTGTTTAAACATTCACTCTTTTCCATAATCAGCTCACTTGTAACGTGCAGAAGAACTGACAGATATTCAACAAATAAGGGTGAATTTTCATTTCATGACAACTTTAAAACTGAAATAAAAACAGAAAATATAAAAAATTTAATAAAATAACTGGAAAAATACAGAATATTTTATTTCAGCTAGTTGCCAAGAAAATATTTCTAATTTCATTTAGTTTATTTTGATGTACTAAAATAACTAAAACAAAAACGACACATTTTTTTACATATTAAAAAAGACAAAAACTAAAATAAAAAAAAATAGAAAATATTTTTAAAAAAGTAATTCAAAATCATTACTAAAAAATTTAAACATGCAGTGATGAATAATAAAAATATCACAATAAGATATATAATATGCATTTAGAAAATCAGGTGAATTTTCACTTCATGCTGACTTTAAAACTTAAATGAAAACAGAAAATACAAAAAAATATAAAATAAATTAAAATAAAATAAAACAAAATAATTTAAATAATTTAACTGATTTTACTTCAGCTAGTTGCCAAGGACACATTTCTCATTTTCATTGATTAACTAGATGTACTAAAATAATTTAAACACAAACTTAAAATGAATAAAATATACATACACACAAACACAAAACAAAAACTAAATTACTAAAACTAAAATGAAAACAGAAAATATAAAAATATAAACTAATTCAAAATTATTAATAAAAATAAAAAAATTGACCATATGCACTGAATAATAATAATATCACAATAAGATCTAATACACTTTTATAGATATATAATATACTTGAATTTTCGTTTCAAATGTAAACAGAAAATAAAAAAAATTATAAAATAAGATAAAATATAAAGAAAGTCTTTAAATTATTTTATTTCAGCTAGCTGCCAAGAAAAGATTTCTTAACTAGATGTACTAAAATTACAAAAACAAAACTTAAATAAAAACCATATAGACATATAGAGAAAAAAAACTAATAAAATGACAGAAACACACTATAGATTACTAAAACTTTCACTAATATGAAAACAGAAAATATAAAAAAATAAAAACGAATTATTCATAAAAAACTAACTAAACACTCAAAAGTGAATAATAATACAGAGAAAATAATACAGAAAATATAGAAACTAATTCATAACATTAATAAAAAAAACTAAAATTATACTATAATAACTCTGATTGGATGACTATTGGATTAGTTTGACCATCTCTAAATGTAACACACACACACTGAACGCACCGACACAGTTGTGTCCGTCGAGCGCCAGCACGAATCCCGCCGGACACGAGCAGGTGAAAGATCCCGGTGTGTTTGTACACACGGCTCCACTTCCACACGCCTGCAGACCTGTTACTGCAGCTAACACACACTCATCTACATCTACAACACACACACACACAACACACAATAACTAACTACACAAGACAACTAGTCACAGTGTTTTAAACTCATAAACCTAGCTGAAGATGAAGAAGACGGCTTATGTAAAAGGAATAGTTCACCCAAAAATGAAAATTGCCTGAAAATGTACTCATTCTTAGGTCATCTGAGATGCAGGTGAGTTTGTTTCTTCATCAGATTTGTAGAAATGTAGCATTGCATCACTTGCTCAGCAATGGATCCTCTGCAGTGAATGGGTGCCGTCAGAATGAGAGTCGTATTTTAGCCGGCCCGGAAGCAACGGTTTGAAGTTAAAAGCGTCTTAATGCTGGATTTGTTTCAGCTTTTGTCTTCTCCAGATGTTCACTGATGGACTGGAGTGCTGTGGATTATTGTGATGTTTTATCAGCTGTTTGGACTCTCATTCTGACGGCACCCATTCACTGCAGAGCATCCATTGCTGAGTTTTTAAGTAATGTTCATTTTTGAGTGAATTGTATCTGCTGTTCATAGTCCATTTTCTCTTTTAATTTGAAGAATCTCGCTGAGAAAGTTAAAGTTAGTCTGTTGACATGTTTAAGTGTGTTTCACAGGAGCTTGTGTTTATATCATGTACTTGTATTGAGTTTCTCATGCACACCTTTACATCCTTCCGCACTCATCAGGTAACCACGGAAACAGCTGCACAGGTAGGATCCAGGTGTATTTGTGCAGTTGGCATGGTAACCGCAAGGCCCCGGGTCGCCCTGGAGACACTCATCAACATCTGAAAAACAGGAAAAGTACATTTAACATAATAATGTATTCTTTATTAATTAATATTCATAATATTACAACACTTTCAGTGAAGGTATACTGTTGAAGATCTCAGACTTTAATTAAAGACTTTATTTACAGGTTTATTCTTTATCTTACAGGTTTGTCTATTCTTGTGAGGGTCAAATGTCCTCACTAACAGTGAAAAAACATTCTCATAAGTGTGTGTGTGTGTGTGTGTGTGTGTGTGTGTGTGTGT